GCCCGCGGGCGCCCACGTCCGCCTGGGAACACGGGCGCCCAACGGTGAGTCTCGGGGTGACGGGCAGCGGCCGGGGCAGTGGGGGGCTTGGGGTGAGGTCCCGGGCGCGCGGGTCACACTGCGGATGGGGCTGGGGTGTGCGAGGGTGGACGCCTTAGAACAGGGCAGGGGAGACTTTGCTGGGGTCCCTTCCAGGCAGGCCCGGGGCGCTGGAGAGATGTGGGTGTCTGGGGAGACCCCTGCAGGGAGCGGCCGGGTTGAGCGGGGTGCGGGCCCCGCGCGCGGCTGTGGCGGAGCAGAGCTCTGAGCCGACCCGGCGGGTGCCAAGGCCAGGCCAGAGCTGCGGGCTCCGGGGCCAGCGCCGAGGGCCGGGGGGTCGCCCGATTCCTGGCGCCCGTGGAGGGGCGGGCAGGGTGGGCTCGCCTCGGGCAGCCGGGCAGCAGGAGTCGAGGGCAGCTCCAGGGCGGCTGCCTAGAGTGGGTGGGTGAGCGAAGGAGAACCCCGCGCCCCCAGAGGCCCCCTCCACGCCCTTCCCGCCCAGCGGGGCCTCTGCGGGCGCTGGCCAGGGTGCTGAAACCCCGCGCGCGGCGCTCAGGCCGGGCCCTCCTGGGGCGTCTGGCGGGCGGGAGGGGCTGTGGGCCGCCCCGGTGAGCAGTGAGGGTCCCCGTCTCTCTTCTCCCCGGCGGGCCCCCGGCTGGGAGACGCCCTCCCCCCGCTGCCCCAGCCGCGTGCCCGGGGAGAGGCGGGGTCACCCGCCCACACTCTCGACCCCGACGGCCTGGGACCTGTGCCCGTCTCCTCTCCTGCGGGGTGGGGACCCGGGCGCCCCGCCTAGCGCTGCTGCCAGGGTGAAATGAAGAACGACTGCCCGGCCGGGGAGCCGCCCGGGACCCCGGGAGCGCCCGCGGAGCCGGCTGGCGGGAGGGGGGGCGGGGCAGGGCGCGGCAGGCCGGGCAGCCCTGTGCTGGACGGAGGTGTCCAGTGGACGCCCCCGGCCGCTCCTGAAGCACCCGTCCCCCGCCTCAGACGGGGGCCCACCCTCCCAGAGGGCGCCTGAGGGCTGACCGGGCTTGGGGTGCAGGGGGTCCCGAGCACCCTGGGTTGGGGGAAGGTGTTTCCCTCCCCCCAGACTGCTCCGGGAGGGCCGGCGGCCCTGGCGTGGGCTCAGAGGACGCGCTCTCTGGCGGAGGCCCCGGCCCCAGCCAACCACGGCGGAATCTGCAAGGCTGGGCCGCGGCCAGTGAGGCCTGCCCCGCGCCCCCCGGCGCAGATGCCCAGGCCTGACAAGCCTGACCCTCTGGGCGCCCAGGCCCCTCCGGGGAGTCCCGGTGCTGACCTGCTGCCACCGCCCGAGGACAGCCGAGGCTTTCTCGCAGGTCCCCGCGGGGCGGCGTGCGCTGGGGCTCCCGGGGCCGGCCCAGGAGGGACGGCACGTGTGGAGGAAGGGGGGTTTCCCGGCGTCCCCGGGGGCGCCTCGTGGCTGATGCGAGCCCGTCTGGCAGTGACCCCGCGGCGCCGCTCCGTCGTGGGGCTCTGCTCTGGCCCCAGCCTGGATTTCCCTGGGGACGGGGCTGACCGCGGCCGCGCCTGGTAAATTAAATGTTAAAAAAAATCCCCGTGATGGTTTAATCAATCCTCTGAGAGGCGCGCAGCCTCCTGCAGAAGAGCGGGGTCCACAGGAGGGAGGCCCGGCTCCGGGGCCTGGGGGTGGCACGGTCCCCTGCAGGGCCTGCCGGAGGCGTGAGGCCCCCAGTGTGGCCTCCTGGAGCCGAGGGGTCCGGCCGGCTCTGTGCCTTGCCCTGATGCAGGCGCCAGGCCAGGATGGCCACGGGGGCAGGGAGGGGTCGGGCCTGCGTCCTCTCGGACCCCGGTCTGTGGGGGCAGGGCCACAGAGCAGGTGTTCCTGCTAAGCCCCTGGGGTGTGGTGGGGGCGCCGATGTCGTCCGCTGGGGGGAGCCGGAGGAGGCGGTGACAGGCGGTGACGGGCGAGGGCCGGCCCAGCCTTAGTGCCCAGACAGTGTCCTGGCCGGCCACCCCTGCCCGCACCTGCCAAAGGGCCTGCGGGCTGGCCCGGGGTCACGGCCACAGAGGCTTCCCGGCCCGCTGACCTGCCAGGCCCAGGGCAGCCCCCTTCGTTCCCAAAGTCCCTCCCCTGGGGTCTAGGCTATTTGGGGGACACTCCTGCTCCACCGTCCCCAGGTTGGGGGATGCACAGTGCAGCTGCAGGGTGGGATCTCAGCTTGAGCTGGGGGGGGGCGCCCTCCCTCTGCCGGGTCCAGTCCCAAGCGCTGAAGCAGGGGGGTGCAGCAGGGGTCCTCCAGGCCGAGCGGACGTCCCGGAGCAGCTGGCGGGTCCCAGTGCCTGGGGCTGCTGGTGGTGGCATCTGGGCCCCCGGGTCCCGCTGCTGTGCTCTGGGGCTCTGGTGGAGGGGCCTTTGGGGGTCGATGGCCTACTTGGGTCATGGGATGGGGGCTTTCTCTTGGGGTGCTCGGGAGCGTGGCCAGTGTCAGAAGAACAAGGTCACCGTGTCCCTTGCACCTCTGTCCCCAGGGCCTGGGCCCCCGAAGTGCAGAGTCCCCGGGACCGGCCGGAATGGGGGAGACTGCGTGGGGGACCCCGCTAAGCAACGCCGCCTCCTCCTTAGGCACCAGCTCCCGCAGGGGGTGCGAACCGGCTCCGTCCTGCGCCCCTCAATCTCCGCCCAGCGCGGGCGGGGCCCTCGCCCCCTCGGCGGTCCGCGTGGCCGGGTGTCTGGCTCGCCGCCGCCGGGGCGGAAGGGGCGCTGTCGGCGCCGGCAGGCGGGGCCCGGGCGCGGGGGCGCGCGGCGCGGAGCGAGCGCAGGGCCGCGGGCGCGGGCCGCCGAGGACGGGGGGCCTGGCGGGCGGCCCTGCGCCTTGCGGGGCGCGGCGGCGGCGGGCGCGCGGCCTGTGCGCGCGCGGGCGGGAGGCGGCGGCGGCGGGAGGAGCTCGGGCCGCTCCCCGCGCTCGCTCTCCGCGCTCCGCTCCTCCATGGCGCTGCCCGGGCCGCCCGAGCCGCCCCGCGGCGCGCCCCGCAAGGCGCCCAGCCTGCTGGAGATGGGGGCGCTCTGCCTGGATTCCGAGATCATCCTGGGCTTCACCAGCCACCTCCTGCGGCGGCGGGCCAAGGTGAGGCCGGGCGGCGGGGCCCGCGGGCGGCGGAGGCTCCGTCCCGCCACCGGGCGCGGCGCGGGCTGCGGCGCCGGAGGGAGGCAGCGGGTCCGCGGGGCCCGCCCGGGGCCGGGGCCCGGGCCCCTGCGCACTTCCCCGGCCAGCGGGCCCCTCTGCCCTCGCCCGCGGCGCGCCCCAGGACTCCTGTCCCGCCGCGCGCGCCCTGCGGGCGGGGGAGGCCGGGTCGGCGCGCCGCGGCCGGTGCTGCGCCCCCGGGGCGACTCCGGGCCCGCGGGCTGTGCCTCCGCCGAGGGCGCGCGCGGGCGCCTCCCGCGGCGCCGCCGCCCGGGACGGCCGAAGTTGCGGGCGTGGCCGGCCAGCGGCCCTGGAGCGGGGCTCCCGGCGACGGCGTGCTCCTGGGGTGCGCTGGGCGCGCCTGGGCCGCAGCCGCGCCTCCCGGCTGGGTGCGCGCGGGTGTCCCACAGCGGTCGGCGCGCGAGGGGCGCGCTGCGTGGGGGCAGTGTGGGGGTGTGGCGGGAAGACGTCCGGGGACACCCAGAATCGGAAGGGCGCTGACGCCCGTCTTCCGTCGGGAAGCTCCCTGGGGGGCGGAGGGGCTCCCCGGGCTCCTCGTGGCGTGGAAAGGGGTGGCGGCCGTGGGGTGGCGGAGCGCGCGCGGGGAGCCCACTGTCCCCCCCGCGCCCCACGTTGCAGGTCACAACCCCTCGGAAAGCCCGGGGCGGTGACGCGCCCCTCTCTTTTGGGGCGCGCGCTCGAGCAGGGCAGCCTCCCAAGTAGAACGGGCGCGCGAAACGGAAGCGAGGGGTCGAACGGGGAGGCTCGAGAGAGGCGGGGCGCGCCTCGAGCCTTGGGGGACTCCGGGCGTGCGGGCGGAGGCGGGATCTCCCCGGCCCCGACCCTGGCCCCGGCCCCGGAGCGCCCCCGGGTCCCGGGCGGGGATGCGCGCCCGACGCGGGGCGCGGGGTCCCCCTCAGCCTCGCGGCGCGGGGCGCGGGGCGCGGCGGCCGGCAGGGGGCGCCGGCGTCCCGGGAAGCGGGCGGGCGCCCACGGAGCCCGACCCGGGTTGGGGCTGACCCCGCGCGCGGACCTCGGGCAGCCGGCGGCGGGGCCGGGGGGCGCCGAGGGCCGGGCTGGGGCGGGAGCAACTGGTCGCCGGCGGCCGGGGCGGCCTCCCGGCCGGGGACCAACGGGCAATTAATTCCGGGCCGCGTCCATCTGCCGGGGCGGCCACAACAGGTCCCGCGGCCGGCGCTCGGCGCGCACCGCCTGCAGCTCGCGCGCCCCGGGCGGACACCGGCCGGGCGCCGCGCGTCCCGGGGCGCGGCCGCGGGACACCCGCCCGCGCGCGGCCGCAGGCCCGACGGCGGCCGGACTCGCGGCGCCCGGACCTGCGGGGGCGGCGGCCGGGGTCGGGCGCGCGGGCTCAGGCCGGCCCCGGCGCGCCCCGGGACCCCGACCCCCGCGGCTCGGCCGTCGCGCGTGGGGCAGCGAGCGGGCGCGCCCCCCGGGGCACGCGCGGACCCCGGGGTCCCGGAGAGGCGCGGCCGGGCGCATGCGCGCGTGTGGCGCGTCTCCCCCCCTCGGAGCCCCGCGCCCCTCCCCCGGCGGGGACTCGCCGAACTGGTTGGGGTCCGGGAGGGGGAGGGGCGGCGGCGCGCGGGGACCCTCCCCCTCCGGCCCCGCCCCCGGCCCGCCCGCGCCGCCCGCCCCGCCCCGCCCCGCGCGCCGCCCGCCGCCAACTTCCGAGCGGCGCCCGGCGGTGGGGCGCTCCCGGGCCGGGTCGCGGAGCCGCGGGCCCCCCGCGAGCCAGCGCGGTCCCGGGGCGCCCTCCGGCCCTTCCCGCGACCGGCCATGGGCGGCCGCGGTGCCCCCCGGGGCGCGGCGCCCCCCGCGGTACGCGCGGCCGGGCCCGGGAGGGAGGCGGGCGGCTGGGGCGCCCCGGGACGGAGCCCGCGCGCCGAGGATGCTGCGGGGCGCGCGGCCCCCGGAGACCCGGCCCGGAGCGCAGCGCGGGCGGGGGCTCGGGGCTCGGGGCTCGGGGCCCGGGCGGGGAGGGGCCCCGGGGCCCCGGAGGCTGGCGGCCGGCCCGCGCCCCGCGCAGGCAACTTCGGAGCGCGGCCCCGGGCCCGGCGCGGGGATCCGGAGTGGCGGGGCCCGGGCGGCGCCGACCCGCGGCCGCGGCTCACTGTCCCTCACCCGCCCGCAGGTGGCCGAGGGCGGCCGGGCCCGCGAGCCGCTGCAGCTGCTGGAGGTGTCCGCGCGCCGGAGGCTGCCCGGGCCGGAGCGGGACCCGCGCGGCAGCCGCCCTGCCCCCGAGGGCGCGGGGCCGTGCGCGGAGCTGGGCCACGCGGCGGGCGCGGGCGGCTGGTGCCGCCACTGCCACGCGAAGCTGGCGGAGCTCAAGCGACAGGCGTGGAAGCTGGTCGGCGGGTCCGGGCAGCCCCTCCGGGTAAGTGACCTGCCTCGAGCTGGCCCCGGCCGGCCGCCCGCGACGCGGGAGGCCGCCGCGCGGGAGCTTCCAGAGCTGCCACCGGTGTCGGGCCGGTCCCCCCCCCTGTTTTCCGGGGCTGTTTCCTGGCTTTTATGCGGGGCGTGTGAGTTGGGGCCCTTCACCCCAACAGGGTCCCGCAGGCAGATCCAGAGGGGGCTGGGCGCAGGCGGATACCCCACTGCTGGCAGCTCTGTGGCGTTGAGGGTGGGGCAGGGCCCCCGGAAAGCCCTGCTCTCCCCAGCCGCCGAGGTCACCCTGGGTGCGCTGTGGCCCTTGGGCACCTGGGCTCCGCCTGGGCTGGAAATGCACTCCTCGGTGCCCCCGAGGACTGGCCGCTGGGTGGGCTGCCAGCCCCCTGCCCGCTGTGGGCAGGAGTTGGGTATCGACACGTGTGGGGCGCTGCTGCCTGTGCCTTCGTGCCGCGGCCTCCCGCCTGGGAGTGCAGTGTCCAGCCCCCGGTCTCGGGCCCAGCCCTCACTGCCAAGGTGTTGGCCGGGCAGGGGGCTCCCCACTTCTCCAGCTGATGGGCTCGCCCTGGTCTTGGGAGGAGCTGGGGCCATTGTTCCAGGGAACAATGGGCCCTGGAAGTTTGCACAGCCGGGGAAGGTGGGGGTCTGCAGAGGAAGCTGGCCCCCCCGGACCTTCAGCCTGGGAAGTGCGCAGAACCCCCATCGCGTCTAAATATAGTTTCTCCAGGAGACTCCGGGTCTGGGCTGGGCCAGCGCCCAGGTTCCCGGGTCCCGCGGTGGCCCTGGGGCGTGGCAGGCGCCCGTGGGTCTGCTCTCTTCCTGGGCACCCTCCCCCGGTGCCTGGCTGGGATGGACAGGCCCTCCACTGAGCCGCTCACCGGGGCAGCTTTGCCAGGCTTTGCGCCCCTTGACAAGGGGCGGGTGAGGTGGGTTCCGGGGCCTGCCCAAGCTGCAGAGCCATCTCACCCCGCTGGGGAAACTGAGGCCAGGAGAGGCGGGCCCTGGGTGATGAGCTGGGTGCTGCCGGCGGCGCGGGACCTGGGGCAGGTGGGCCGGCGGTCCTGGTGGGAGAGCTGCAGGCTGTAGCCCTCGGGGTGGATCCGGGCCTCTTCCAGGGCGCCCAGGGTCTCTTCCTGTGGACGCCTCATGGGAGAAGCCACTCCAGCACCGAGCACTTGCTGTCTCCCTCCCCCAGGCCCCTGGGGGGGCACCTGCTGGCCAGGGTCCCTGCTTTGTCCCTGCTGCAGACCCCTCCGCTTGGGCCCCCCCTTCCTGGGTTGGGGCAGTCTCCAGCCTGTGGGGTGGGTTCCCGAGTGGAGGCGTCCTTCCCCAGAGAGGACGAGGCCAGCAGGGGCCGTGCTGGGTGTCGTGGTCCGGGTGGGGGCTCCCCAGAGCCTCCCGTGGGAGCCAGGGTGTGGCCAGGATGCCGTTGTCCTGCTGTGGGTTTGGGGGGTCTCGGTGTGACCCCACGGGGGCTCCTGTGTGACAAGCTAGGGTTGAGGGAGCCCCACGGTCCTCCTGGCGCCCGCCCATTTCCAGGGCGCTGGCCTTGCTCCCAGAGCCATGGGGTCCAGAGTTCCTGGGGAGCCCTGGTTTTCCTACAAGATGTTGAGCTTTGAGGTCAGAGCCACATGGGGTGCCCTGGGTGCCTGCCCGGTCTCGGGTGAGGCTGGTTGCAGCCCGAGTCCCCATCGTTGCCTGTGTCCCTGCAGGCCAGCTGGCGCCGCGCCCACCCTCCTGCTGGCCAGCCCCACAATGGGGGGGCCGTGGCCTCAGTTTCCCCCTTTTGTGTCCATTTCACAGCGCGCACGCCCGGCTCTCGGCGCTCTGCCTGGGGCGTGGGCGTCATGCGGTCTGCACCTGCCGCCGGGCTCCTGTCCTGGGAGACGCCTGCCTCTCTGCCCCCTCACCCTCTGGGGGTGTGGGCGGTTCCTCGAGTAGTAGCCTGACACCCCTGGGGGCTCTGCCAGGGCAGGTCACTCGAAACGTGTGCTGCATGGCCGAGGGACAGTCCCCACATCTCGCCGGGTCACCCCGGGGCTGCCGGCCCGGCGCTGGCTCTTTCTCTGCCCAGTGTGGCCCCTGGGGGTGGCCCCGGCCCTGCCCCGAGGGGTCCAAAACGCTAGGGCACCCGCTGCAGTCTCCACCTGACGTCACACGCAGAGGGTGGCTCCGGGAGACCCCGCGACTTCCGGGGAGCGCCCCGTTCCAGGGGAAGCGATCACGCCTCACTTAGCTCCCGCACAGCGCGGTCACCGCGGCGGGGCCGTCCTGCCTGCCCGGTGCCCCCGCCGATCGCGTGCCCACGCAGCCCAAGTCCATCCCGCGCCAGCGACGGCGACGGGGTGACCGCCCGTCCCCGCACCTGCCTTTCTCTTTGCTGGTCTGGGGCCCAGCAGCGGCGCTGGCTCAAGCGTCAGCCTCTTCCTGGACATCTGCCCTGAGGAGGGAGGGCCCAGCCGAGGCTACCCCTGCCGCGAGCTGGGGGCACCCACACCTTGGGGTGGCCGGGCCCCCCAGGGTCCTGAGAGGACTCGCTGTGGAGTCAGACCGGGTTCTCGCCCTGAAGGCGGGTCCTGCTCGCCCGGCCCGCGCTGCCTCCCCGGCCTGACTGGCTGAGGCTGCTCGCTGCGCTGGTCCGGGAGGCGGGCGGGAGTGGAGTGTCTGGCCGGGGCGCCCCGCTGGGTGAACGCGGTGGGTGGCGGGACGCGGGGCCCCATGGCCACCCCTCCGCGGGTCACCCCTCACTCCCTGTGGGCTGAAGGAGCGTGACTGGCCCCTGGGCGGCCGCGGCTCCTGGGCTGGGGCTGAGCTCCCTGCCCCTGCAGTGCCCAGACTGCGGCTCACCTCCCGCCCCAGCGACGGGCGTGCCCTGCTGCGGCCTGTTTTGGGGGGCGCTGGCCCTGTCCTCTCCCGGGTCCCCATCCCTGCCCCCTTGTGGCCATGGGGCAGCAGCCTGCAGACATGCCTGTCCTAAGCCCGAGGCCTCGCCCGCACCCCGCCCCGGGGCCCTGACCCTGCGGCCCAAGCTGCATGGCCCTCGCGGGCCTCCTCTGGGGAGGGCAAGCCCGCAGGGCCAGCAAGGGTCCGGAGCTGCCCGTCTGGGGGCCGTCTCCCTGGCGCTTGGAGGGCTGCCCGGCGGCCAGGGCTGTGGGGGGGCTGTGGGCAGGGGGCTGGGTCCCTCATGGCTCAGGACGCCCGGGGAGGAGGGCCCTCGGGCAGGCAGGGCCGGTCCTCCTTCCGCAGGGGTCACCACCCGCCCGGCCTGGGGGTCGTGCTGTGGTTGGGAATGTGGGGAGGGATGGGGCCGGCGGGCGGCAGCCTCTGAGTCATCACCGTCCCCCTGCGGGGGGCACTGGGAGAGCGGCAGAAGGGGTGTCCAGGAGAGCTTCCTGGAGGAGGCATTGGGTCTCCATTAGAACTGGACCCACAGAGAGGGGGTGAGCATCTCGGGGAACCTCAAGAACCACCCTGGAGGTGAGCATCTGCCGCAGCTGTGCATGGCCCCGTTGTTCAGGCAGGGAAACTGAGGCCCCAGGCCACGGCACGTCCGTGGCTGCCTACCTGGCTGGCCCAGCCCCTGCCCCGCAGCGTCCTGAGTGTGGTGTCCTGGCCATGTGGCCTCTCCGCTCCTCCCGCCCTTGGTGGTCTGTGCCCGTCTGGCCGTGGGCCCCCCCCACAGTGTGGCTTCGGCAGAGCACAGGGGAGCCATTGAGGGGGTCTCAGGGAGCTAGTGTGGCCCAGCTGGCCGGCGCCTGGCACAGGGCGGGGACGTGTGCCGGTCAGCGTGGGGCGTGCCGGGCTCTCCCTCCCACCCCTGGGGAGGAGGCCGGGTCAGCTGGGGCCTGCAGACCTTGGCACCAGGTGGCCCTGAGTGGCGGGTGAGGGTCCCCTGGAGGGTCTCCGGGTCTCCCCGGGGTCCGGCAGGCCAGTGGGCAGGGCTCGGGCCTTGCGGGGTGCACGGTGAGGGTCTGGGCGGCCCAGGTGGGGTCCCCATGGCTGTGGCACTTTCCAGCTGGAAACCGAGCTCCTGCTAGGCCACGTGAGCCATGGGGCATCCGCCAGCAGCCCAGGCAGCGCTGGCCCTGCCGCCCAGCCCTTCCTGACCTGCTGCCGCCTCCGGAAGCAGAGGCAGCCCCTCCCCCCGCTTTGTTTGTGGAAGGAAGGGGGCCTCGGGGCCTGCACTCAGCCCAGCGGCACAGGTGGGCCCCCCTGCCCGACCCTGGGGCCCTGGGTGGCCTTGCCAGTGGGCAGCTGCCCCTTTCTAGAAGAGGTGACGGCTCGGAGCAGGGGTTTCTCGGCCCTGAGGATCGGGCTATGCTGAATTGGAGGGCGGTTGCCCCAGCTGGGCGCTGGGCTGGGGCCTCCCGGGGGAGAAAGTGAAGGCCCCCAAAGCCCCCCCCCCCCCGAGACCCCGCACGGGCCGGGCGGGGACTTAAGCGGAAGTGAAGGGCACTTTCCTTCACGGCGACCGCTGCCCCTGAGAGGCTGGCCGGGCAGGGTCGGCGAGAGGCTCGGGTGGCTCTGGTTTTCAGGGTGGCCGTTCCGTAAATTCGGGCCTTGACCCCTTGGGGGCCTGAGCCTGTGGGCCGAGAGCTGCCAGGATCTGCCCCCTGCTGGGCGCGGGGCGGCCGCAAAGGGTGGTCTTGGGGGCTGAGGCCTCAGGAGCCCCCAGGCTGTGGAGAGGGGGATGGGGCTGCACCTCTTTTGGGGTGAGAGGGTCACCCAGGGCAGCAGGTGAACAGGCTTCGGGGGACCAGGGCTCAGCTGGTGCCCCTCCCTGGAGCCCCGTGTCGCTGGCACCCCAGCAGTCAGCGGCCCTGACACCGGACGGAGGGCCGGAGACGGCCCCTTCCCTGCACTGGGACCTGGGGTCAGCCCCCAGCTGGGCCCCGGAGTCCCGAGAGGAGGCTGGCAGAGCAGGGTGGGCGTGGCTGCTGCGGGTGGGCCCGGGGCGCTGGCGAGAGGAGGGGCTGGGCCGTGAGTGCTTGGCCCCTGGGCCGTCAGGTCACCAGCACCCTGGACCTGCTCCCCCGGTGGCTGGGGAGGACTTGCACCCCCAAAGCAGAGCCCCCCGGCTCCTTGGGGGTTTGAGGCTCAGTGCCTGCGCCCAGGCGGCCTCCCTCCTCTTGCCCGTGCCTCCCGCCCCCGCGGAGCTGCCTCGGCTTGGGGGGTCTCTGGGGGTCTCGTCCCCGCTCAGGTCAGGTAGACCCTGCTCTTCCCGCTTTCCTTCCTGCACCCTGCTGTGGGGGCCTGGGGGGGGGGTGCCCAGGAATCTCCAAGACAGGCAGAGGCCCTAGGGTAGTGGGCTCGGGGGCCTGGGGGTGCTCGGCCCTGGGCCTCTCAAGTCGGTAATGGCTTTAGCAGACGCTTCCTGCCTCTCCCCAGCCCCTGAGCGCCTCCCGCTGAGTGGAAACCCAGAGTCAGCAGGGAGACCTGGGCGGGCGGGGAGCCCAGGGCCGGCCATCTGGATCTCATTCCAGGCCGGTCCTGCCGCCAGCATCTGGCGGCTTCCGGTGGGGCCCTTCTACCGTCTAGTGCATCTCCCTTGGGGTGCAGTTGGGTGTCCATTGGGGGGTAGGACCCACCGAGCAGGTCAGTGGCTCTGTGGCCCCCCGCAGGCTGAGAAGGTCCAGGCTTCCTGAGTGCCCATTGGTGAGGCAGCTGGGCAACAACCTGGCCGGCCTCACCTGTCTGACTTGGTGGGCATGAGGGCGTGGGGGTCGCTGTGCTGGGCCACACAGTGCACCCTCGCGCTGCTGGCCACCCGTTCCCCGCTGTCTCCCACGAGAGCCCCCCCAGACGTGTGGAGGTTGGCCGGGCCGGCCCCTGGCCTGCTCAGTGTCCGTGTGTGGGGAAGACTGTGGCCCCTCTGTAGTTGATGTTGCCGCTGGGCTGGAGCCAGGCCTTGCCCGGAATGCCTGGGCTGCGGGCTGGCAGAGCCCACCAGCTGGCAGCAGAGGACACATTGGGCTGGCGCCTGGGAAGTCCTGTGTGGTCCAGGCCACTGCGGGGCTGGCCTGATGCTCCCAGAAGGTGTGAAGATGCAGAGGGGGCTGCCCCTGCTCCCAGAGGTGCCACCTCCTCCAGGAAGCTCTCACAGCTTGCGAGGGACCCCTTCTGTGCTCCCCTGTTCCTTAGCCCTCTCTGGACACTAGGCACACGGTTGGGCGACCCATGTGGCCAGCACAGGGCGGGAACACTGGCTCAGGGACAGCTGCCCAGCTCCCTAGACCGTGGTCCAGGTGGGCGTGGAGCTACCTGCTCACCCCTGGGGGGCCCCGTTGGCGCCTTTATGGAGGGGACTGACCCCCTCCCCGGCGGTAGTCCTCTGCTTTCCGCTGGGGCCTCAGAAGGGACGCAGACCGGGAAGATAGTGGTACCTCAGGGGCTGGGCGAGGCTAGCAGCTGACGAGGGCTCTGTGGCCCAGGAGGAGGCTCCTGGTTCCCCGCCTGGCACATCTGTGGGTTCTGCGGCCCAGCACTGTGTGCGCCCGGGTGGCATCAGCTTGGGCACTGACCTCTGTCCCTTGCTCCCCAGGACCCCTGCCTCTCCGCCCTCCTGCTGGACAAGCTGCCCGCCTGCCGTCCGGAGGCCGAGCGCGCCTGTGATGCCTGTGCCGCCCACTTGAGCCAGCTGACCCGTGAGGCCCTGCGGCTGCTGCAGGTCCCAGCCGGCCGCGAGGACCCCGCTGGCCCCCATGCTGCGCCCGGCCCCACTGCCAGCCTGGAGCAGAGGAGGGCGTCAGCCTGGCCGCCCAGGCCTGGCGTCCAGGTGTCGGTGGTGCCCGCCGGCCTGGGGGGCGCGCTGAGCACGGTGACCATCCAAGCACAGCAACGCCTGGAGGGCGTGTGGGGCGCATCCAGGGCCAGCGGCCTCCTGCCGGCCTCCTGCCTGGTGAGTCCCACGTGGGCCGCTCGGCCACCAGGGCTGGTCAGAATGGGGCTCCCTCCGGGGCACCCCTGGGTCTCCCCATGGCCACCTGGGCTCACGGGGTGCCCTGCAGTGAGGGCACCGTGGACGACCCAGGAGGACCAGATGTCTGCCAGCCTGAGTCTGCCCACCAGGTGCAGCTGGGCAGGCCCTGTGCTGCGGCCCTTCCCCACGCTGCCGGCATGTGTGGCAGCTGCTGCTGAAGCCGCCTGGCTCTGGAGGCCGCGCGACTCGGAGCTGGCGGAAGGGCCGGGCTGGGGGGCTTACCCTGGCCGGAGAGGAGGGCCCTGATGGCTGCCTGGCCCCCAGCTTCTCCACGCCCGCTGCCCGGGGTGGGCGGTGGGAGGTGCCCCCATCGCAGCCCCCGTCCTCGGCCCTCGCCGGGGCCTGGTCTCACGGAAGCAGCTCCGGGCCAGTGGTGCTTGGGGTGGCTGGTCCCGGGCGGCGGTCGTCCGAAAGGGCCCGGCCACTTGTCTGCTGGCTGCAGTGTCGCTGGGGTCTCCCTGCGACCGTTTTCCGTGCAGGAGAAGGGGCGCCGGGACGGGGCCTCAGTCAGGGCTTCCCGGGCACTGGTGTGGCTTTGGGGATGCAGGGGTAGCTGTGCTGGCCTCCCAGGTTGTGGGTGATGCCACGGTTCTGGTGGCAGCTCTGTCCCCCAGGACCTTCCCTGGGTGCTGTGGCCTCAGGGCATCCACCTGCTCGGTGAGGGCTGGGGCCACGCCCCGCGTGGGACCCCCCCAGCTCACGCAGGCAGGCCTCGGATGGGCGGGCGGGTGACAGCCTGGTGGGGCCTGGAGGGTGACAGGCCGGAGGCGGGTGAGGGGCAGGGCAGGCCCAGTCCAGGACGCGTGGCCGAGCCATCCCGGGCGCAGGCCCTGGGCAGCCCCGCATGCTCTGCAGTGAGGGTGAGGCTGGCGCCCGGCGCTCGCGCCAGTGGGGCTGAGAGGAGCAGACGGAGGAGGCTCCGGGACGGTCTCCCACGTTGCAGACGCAGGAGACACCCGCTCGCCGGCCCCAGCGGTGCTGCTGGGAGGAGTGTGCAGCTGTGAGCCGCTCCTCTCTGGCGGATGTGCCAGAGCCGGCCCCGGGGCGCCTGGTGCGGGGCCTCGCTGGGCCTTGAAAGGGGGGTCCTGCATGCAGGGGGCCTTGTTGGGGGCCTCTGGAGGTAGTGCCCGTGGGGGGCCCTGGAGTGGGTGGCTGGGACCTCGGAGGTGCTGGGAACAGACAGGGGACCCCTGCCCGGGAGGGGCCCGCGTCGCTGGGCCGAGTGAAGTCAGCCTTTGTTCTGAGGGTGCTTGGGAGTAAGAGGAAGGTTCTGGGGGGTGCCCAGAGGGACTTTGTGACTACAGGGGGGCCCCTCCCCTCCTCCCTCGTCGAGCGGCCCGTGTGGGCTCCAGCAGTGACCGGGGTCCACACCAAGGTGGTGCTCGCTGGCCCTGCCGGCAGCCAGTGCCCCATGACCCTGGGCGCTCAGTTGCCCTCTCCTGCTCCTGTCCGCCCGATCGCCACGTGGCAGGGGCGGCTTTCTAGTTAGGCAGCAGCCGGCGACCGATGGCCGACGCAGAGGCCACAGACAGGGCTCCAGGCTCAGAGTGGGTGGTTTCCCGGGACCAGGGCGCCGCCGTCGGAGGGCCCTAGCCGCCGACAGGCCGCGCCTGAGCCCCGGATCAAACCCTCCGGCGTCTCCGCCGGCCCCGGCTCCTCTGCGCTGGCCTGCGCCCGTCCTGCAGCCGGATGCCGGGAGACGGGGCCGCCTGGCCTGGCTCAGACTGGAGGTGGCACGCCGCCCCCTGTCCTGCTCCCTTGCAGTGGTCCCCCCCACCCCGACTCGCCGGGCACCGGCCAGGCGGGGCCCGGGCCCCAGTCCGGAGAGGAGGCGCTGAGTGGGCTGCCCCGTGGCGTGGGGGCGGGAGGCGGGTGGGCTGGGGGCAGGCACAGGTGTGCTCGGCGGGCCCTGCTCTCGGGACCCGGCCAGCCCGTCCTCTGGGTGGAGGGAGCGTGGCCAGGCCTCCCCTGCCCCCGTTGCTCGTGCCTCAGTCTACCCACCCCCCTCCAGGCGAGGCTGCGGGGAGACTGCTTCCGTGCCGTGGGTCCTGGGGGTCTCCCTGTGGAGGCCTGGGGGCCACACCCTGTGCCCCACAAGGGTGGGAGCCCCGGGCGGTCTCTGCTCCGGGCTCCGCGGTCCTGGTGCCGCTGCCCCCTCAGAGCCCGGGCTGGGCTGCAGCCGACTGGCGGTCGCTCGCCTCTGCCTTCCGCTGCTGCGCTGGCCTCCGCCTCTTTCTGTCTGGCCGCCGCCCCCTCTCCTCCTGTGCTGTGGTCCCCCTCCGGCCCACCCCTCCCCCTGGCCCCCGCTGTGCTGGGCGGCTCCCTTGGGCACGCTCGGGCTCTGCTTCCGCTGGGACTCGGCGCGGGAACGGCGGAGCCGAGGTGCCGGCCCATGCGAGACCTGTCAGTGTGGGCTCTGCCGGGAGGCGTGCAGGTGTGGCTGGAGCATGCAGCTGAGGCGACCAGGCCAGCTTGGGGAGTCGGGGGGGGCTAGTGTGGACCCCCGCTGTGGCCACCGCCTCGCCCCGCCGTCCAGACCTCACTGAACCTGACCGGGCCTGGACAGAGGGCGGGGCTGTCCCGGGAGCCAACATGGGGCCAGCGGCCTGCAGGTGGCAGGTCCTCTGCCCCCAAGACCTCTCGGCCGGGGCTGCTGGCCACAGGCCTGGTGGGTGTTGGCTCGGGAGCCCAGGCTGGGGCGACTCAGGCGCAGCGCCCCGAGCCAGCCCTCTCGCCCCTCCCTGGGAGCACACGCAGCCGGTGGCGAAAGGGACCCACGTCCCGGGCAGGTGCGCGCTGCCCGCGCTGCCCAGCCACTGGGAAAGAGGCAGCGTTTGGTTCTCACTGCCTAGCCTCGGGCCGGCCGACACTCCTGGACGGTTCTGGGAGTTTCCTCTGCGCGTGGGGCCGCCAGCGTGGGCTTGCGGTTGTGTGTCTGTGCCCTGCTGGGCACCAGAGTGGGGGGACCAGGCGGGTATGGAGGTACCTCCAGGGCCCCCTGAAGGCAGGTGGAGACCAGCCGTACACTGGGCGAGAAGCACTGGACAGACTGGGGGGAGTGACGGGAGGTCAGGGGCCCGACGTGGCCTGTGCAAGGGCAGGACTGGCTGGGCTGGGTTCTGAGGGATGCACAGGAGTTCGTGCCCAGCGGGTGTGGTGTGCCGTCCCCCTGCCTGATGAGGGTTTGTGTCACATTTGCCCTTCTCTCCTGCCCCCATGGCCCGCGGGGAGAGGCTGTATGGGGGTGCGTGTCTTCCATGCCACGGGTTTGGGGCCACCTGTGACCACCCTTTGCACCCTGGTTACTCTCCCAGAGGGTCTGGAAACCAGTCTGGCCATAAGCTGGGCAGGGCCAGCAGAAGACTTGCGTCCCGTCCACCTGGGGACCCCAGCCCCTGCCGGACACTGCTGTCCACCGCCCTTGGGCCGAGCCGGGAGCTGGAGGCGGGTGGGTTCCTGAGGGTGGGCTGGGGCCGAGGCAGCCCCTCACCTCCCTGCTGCGCACACCACTCGCCCTCCCCGGGGGCCAGGTCTGGCGCGGCGTCCACCCCGCACGCGCTCGCAGACCCTGGCGCCGCTCGGGCGCATCTGACCCCCTTCGCGCCTCATTACGAGGCCGTCCCCCACCCTGGAATTTACTTCAGCTGACGAGCGGGCCGCGCCGCCGCGGTACTTCAGACCCGGCCGCGAGCGCTGGTGACAAATATTTATCGTGCGGCTTCTCTCATGACGCCTCGGGGCGCTCCCGGTTGACAGCCGGTGGGAGAGGGACGGGGGCCCGTCCGCCTCTCCCAACACGGCGGCCACGCGTTCCCGGCACCCGGCGGGGGCTCCGCCGCGGCCCCCCTCCTCCCGGCGGCCGCCCGCCCTGCTGGCGCCGTCTGCGGGTCGCCCGGCCTCCCCAGCCCGGCGAGGGCTCCGCTCACCCGGCTCTCCTTCCCTGCAGGCCGAGGCGGCCGTGGCCGCGGTGGCGGTGGCAGACACGGTCCGGGAGGCGCCCCCCACGGTGGGCCCTGATGGTGTGTCCAAGACATGGGGCCGCGGCGGGGCCCCGGGGGGCTCGGCGGGCGCCCCCTCAGGCACCTCGGCGGCGGCCTCCTTCTTCCTCAGGTAGGTGGCCCCGGAGCCCAAGCTGGGGGTGGGCGGCTCGGGCCGCGCTGCCCGCGGGCTGCTGGGGCTGTGGCCTCGCCTCTGCGGGGCGGCTCCGGCCTGCTGCCCGCTGCCTCCGAGAGGTCCTGCCCCTGGACAGCAGCGCCCGGTCCAGGCAGGCGCGCGGCCCCTCTGTGCGGCAGGCCGGTTCCCCGGGTGGGCGGGCGGGCCCAGGACGAGCCTGCGTCTTTTCAGCGTCTCAGACCTGAACCCCCAGCCTGGCTGATGGAACAGGCGTGTGTCATGTCATGTGCGGGGCAGGACAGCCAGAGCGGCCAGAGCAGCCCCCGGACCAGGGCAGATGGACCGGGAAGGCGTCCTGGATGGGGGCTCCCCGCTCCCCCCAGCCCCAGGGCCGGCTCCGTGGCGGCCACCCTGCCTCCCGGCCCGGCGGGGGCCCTGGGTGTGGGTGCTGGGCTGCAGTTCACGCTCCTGGGCCCCCATGCGTGCGTGGCCGGGTCCTCAGGCACCAGCTCGGGCGGGGAGGCGGAGGGGGGCAGTGGGAAGCAGTGTGGAAGCAGGGGTCTTCCCTGCCCCCAGAGGGGCCCCGCCCCGGCCTGGTTACAGGGGTGATGGTGCGGGGAGCGGTGACGGCAGCCCGCCTGCTCCCTGTCCCACTGCGGGCCCCTCGGGCAGCCCCGCTCAGCCCGGCGTGCTCCGGCCTGCAGGTGCCACCGTCTCCTCGCCTCCTGGGGCCGTGGGGGCCTGAGGATGCCCAGCCCCCTGGGTGCCGGGCCCTGGCTGGGCCTGGGGTGGCTGGAGGCCTGCCCGGGGTGGCCAGAGGGCAGGTCCTGCCCAGGGTCTCTGCGCGGCTCCGGCTGGAGGGCGGATCTGACTCGGGGCTTCTGAGTGGACCCGCGGCCCCCTCCGGTCCGGCTTCGCACCCGGCGGCTCCTGGACCCTTGGCCCGGCAGAGTGGCCGCCTGCCGCCTTTTGTCTGAGCTGAGTGAGGCTGCTGCTGACCTTGGGAAGTTGCCATAGCAACAAGTGTGTGGGGGTGGGGGCGCCGCGGCTGCCGTTACTTCCAGCCGGCCGGACGCCCTGAATCGCAGCAGCTGCCTGCAGATGACGGCCAAGTTGGGGGTGGGGGCCCTGCTGCACCCCCTTGCTGAGTGGCAGTGACTGGGCTGGGTCGGTGGGTGGAGACCCCTTGACCACAGGGTGGGATGGGGGTGCTCTGGTTTTGTGGGTGGGAGGCCAGCCTGAGGGAGGGGACGGGGCTTATCTGGAGCTGCCCGTGGGGCCCAGAGGCTCGCTGGAGCAGGTGCTCTGCTCCCCGCCTTGTTGGGACCTGCGGGCAGGGCAGACCCTCAGCAGGTCTCCGCCGGGGTGAGTCTGGGGCAGCCCTGGCTGGCGGCTGGGGACCCGTGCAGGGGCAGGTGCGGGCCACAGGCGTGGGCTCTGAGGGCTAAATAGGAGTCCGCCGTTCGGGTGGAGGCAGAGGAGGTGGGATTGGGAGTCCTGGGTGGCTGCGGCCTGCCCTGGCCCCGCCAGCGCCCCTGGTTCCAAGGATGGCTCACGGGTGTGGGTGCCCAGGTCCCAGGCTCTCGGCCTGCGAGGTTGGGGGAGGGGAACAGTCTCATGGCCCTGCTGGCAGGCTGGGCTGGCTGGGCCGGACCCCACACCCTGACACCCCGTCTCGAGGGCCTCGCCCCCAGGGCTGCTGCCAGACCTGGCGCTTCTTGCTTGGGGCAGCGGTTTCCTGGTGAGAGGCCGGTGCGCCCTTCCGGCTCTCGTGGGCCAGGGCCAGGGCCAGCGGGCGCCCGCGGCTCAGGGGGCCTCAGGGAGCCTGTCCCCACCCCATCTCCCTTCCTCCCCCACACCTCCCCCGCCCCCGCTCCCTTGCGCGTCCTCCCCGCTCCCTCGCCCTCACTCATGGCTGACCCGAGGGTCCCGGTGGCCAGGCCTGGGTGGCCAAGCCCTGCCCGGGCGTGGCTGGGTAAGCGGGTGTCTCCCGGCTGGGGTGTTTCCGTGGACACAGGAGGCGCAGGGTCTGGGGACCCTGTTTGGGGTGTCGGCAGGCTTCCTGGAGGAGGCGTCCTTGCGGCAGGAGGGCTGTGATGCGGGGAGGCTGAGGGTCCCGCCTGCGCGCCCGGCCTGTGGGTCTGCCTGTGCCCTGCCCGGCAACGCTGCAGCGGGCACTCCTGGTCCTGTGGTGCCCGCATGGGCCTGGCATTACCACCCCCATTTTTCCCACCCCACTGCTCAGAAACCGAAAAAGCTGGGGCCCCAGGCTGGCTCGGGCTCCCCTCCCCCACGGGCGTGTGAGCCGAGCTGGGGAGCAAGGGCGGGAGGCCCGTTCCCAGGCCCCATGGCATCAAAGGGCTGGGGGCCCGAGGGCCTCGTAAAGGTGGGGAGCCTGTGAGTCAGGCCTGGCGAGCCGAGCCGCAGGCGGGGGGGCCCGGTCCAGGGCGCCCTGGGCGGGGCTGCGGCCCCAGAGCCTGGGGTGCCTGTTTGCTCTTGGGCTGCGGCCTGGACTAGGGGTGGCCCCTCGACCTTGGCCTGCGCACATTGGAGGCTGCCCCCTGAGTCACTCCGCCTGGCCGGGCAGGGGCTGCCTGCTGTGCTGCCCCGTGGGGTGTCCACACGCCTCCAGGCCAGGCTGCCCCAAGCGCAGCACTCACAGCCAGGGCGGGGTGGCCACAGCCCCTGTGGGGTCACCGTGGGCGCTGGGACCCCCAGCCAGCCTGCCCAGGTGGCCTGGAGGCGGCCCGGGACCTCTGCCCCAACCTGTGGAGCCCCGCCTTGCCTGCTGTCCCGGCCGTGGGCGTGCCAGGCGGGCACTGGCCCTTCTTCTATGGGCTGTGGGTGGGAAGCTGGGGAGTCACCCAAGGGGGCGGGGACCAGCTGGGAGGCCCCCCCCATGCCCCGCCCTGTGGGTGGTGCCCTGGCCCTGGCCAGACCTGGCCCTGTGCTGGCCGGTGCCGTCCGCCCTGAGCCTGCACAGCCTCCGGGCAGGGGTGAGCTCTGGTGCTGGGGTTTCAAGGCCCAGGTGGGAGTTGGGGTTCCCACCCCCCGCGAGGCTCTCAGACACGAGGCCCTGCCCGCCAGGGTGCAGGTCCCGCTGCCCGCCGCCTGCGTGGCCAGGCCTCTGCATGCCCAGATCTGGAGTGCTCCGGCGGCTCCTGGCTGGACTGCCCTGCCCCGCCCGGCCAGGGCGCCCCCCACGCCGCCTCGCTGAGGCCCCGCACAACCGTAGATCACTTTTATGTTCTGTGATGACGCGCGCGCGCGCGGAGGAGAGCTGTCCCTGGGGGCCCTTCAAAGACAGCTCCCATTAGAGCCGGGAGGGCTGAGCTGCTGCCACAGGCCTTGCCGCTCGCGGCCCCTCCAGGGCAGGAGATAGGGCTCTGGGGCCCTGGAGGATGTGGGGGGCGATTGGGGAGCTGCCCTCAGAGCCCGGTGGGCAGGGTCTGCCCTGCAGTCCCCCATGGGCCCCTCATGGGAGGCCAGGGTGCCTGGCCCTGAGCCCCCGTGTGGGGTGTGTGTGGGGCATGCGGCCTGGTCTGGGGAGGGAGCTGGGGTACACACATGGTCTGGTTTGGAGGGGGCCCTGCCGCAGGCCCTGGGGTGTCCCCGAAGTGGGGGCCAGCCCAGCCAGGGCCCTGGATGTGAGCGTGGCATGTGCTGGTGTGTTGAGGGGCCCCGGGCATTAGATGCACAAGGGACCCCTTGGTCTGGGCTGACACCCCGGTTCCTGAGTCCCCTGACTCCTAGTTTGGGGCTCTGTGGTCTGGGCCAGGTCGTGGGCCCGAGGGCCCCGGGGCACTCACTGCTGGTATGGGGTCAGGCTGAGCAGGACCATTTTTCAGGCCCGGGCACCCTGGGCCTCGATGCCAGGGCAGGTGGCAGGGCGGGCAGCAGGTCAGCGCTCGCCGTCCCGGGGGGGTGGGGGTGGGAGAGGGGCTTGGCCCTCCCAAGTGCGCCAGCCTTTCTGGGATGCTGGCTGGGGCGCTGAGCTGGCCTGAACACCCACGCCCCCTTTGAGAGGTGGGGAGACTGAGGCACAGAGGTGAAGTCGCGGCTCCGTCATGGCCATGAGCAGCCCCTACCCATGCCCCCCGCGCCTCAGGGTGCAGGGCAGGCAGAGGCTGCAGGGAACAGGGTGCAGAGGTACTTGTGGGGGTTTGGGCCCCCATCTGCCTGGATGTTCTGTTCCCTGGCCTGGCCTGTGCTGCCCAGATCACGGGGACCGGGGATGGGGACGGGACAAGGCGTCAGGAAGGGGGGTGAGGTGCAGGCCAAAGGGTCGTTTGGGGGGGCGGGTGACTGAGCCGCTCTGAAAGCCCCCCTTCTTAGGGCCGCGCAGAAGCTCAGCCTGGCCTCCAAGCGCAAGAAGCCCCACCCGCCGCCAGCGCCCCCTGCCCGCGGCACCTCCACCTACCCCACCAACTTCAGCGGGGTCCTGCAGCTGTGGCCGCCCCCTGCACCGCCTTGCCTGCTCAGAGCTGCCTCCAAGGTCAAGGAGAATGCTGGCAGCGCGGGGAAGGTAGGCCTGCCGGGGCGGGCGGGACGGGGCAGCGTGGGGCCCAACTTGGGCAGGATGGTCAGCGGTCAGCGGGGCTACCCGGGGAGACGGAGGCCTGGCCCACGTGGCGGCTCCAGGAGGTGGCAGGGAGCCTGGGAGATTGCTTTGGAGTGGGGCTCCAGGAGCTGGGTGCGGGGTGCGGGGTGCGGGGTGGGCCCTCCCCGCCAGAGTCCAGGGGAGTGGGGCCTGCAGCCTGCCGAGGGCGGGCTGGCGGTCCTCGCCACCCTGCTGTCCCCTGGGGGGCTGGCCCTGTTTCTGCGGCTGCTGAGACCGGCTCCACGCTGGCCCTGCTGGCTGCTGGCCGGGTCCTCCTGCGCTTAGTGAGGGGCTCCCACCACCCACGCGGGCTCGCCCACCCCAGGCCCAGGTCTGGGGGGTTCTTCCGCCCTGGCCGCCCGACCAGGGAGCCTCCCTCTCGGTGTCTCTGGTGGGGCTCCTGGCCCCACGGGCAGCACGGGCCACTTCACATGGGGTCCCTGCAGGCTCAGGCCTTGGCGAGACCTTGGAGAGGACACTATCTGCCCGGGGTGGGGGGAGGGGGCTGGCGGACTCAAGCTCAGAAACCCCCACCCAGCCCCACGCTCCCTGTGGCCGTGGCCGCCCAGCCTGTGGCTTCCACCAGCTGCTCCTGGACCCGGGCCCCCCAGGTACCGGGGGCCTGGACCCGGGCCCCCCAGGACTGATGACCCCTCTGCGGGGTCCCCACCCAGAGCCGCATCGCCAGGCCCCTGGGTGCTGCGTGCAGGACGTCACAGTCGGAAATGCCCTCTGAGAGGCGGTTGGTGGCAGAGGCAAGATCTCTGCGCCCCACCTGCCTGTGCTCCCCAGTGGGTCCTGAGGATGGAGCCCCTCCGGGCGCCCCTCTCCTCGCCTGTGAGCACCCCCCTCCCCCACTGCCTGGGCCACCTCTTCCGGAGTGGAAGCCCTTTTTTATGCAAAATGTGTTTTTCCCTGCGAGGCAGCTGCCTATTCAGGCCTTTGTGAAGGCGGAAGAATGTTCAGGGCAGAGACTCCAGCCCGGCTCCTCCCAGCCAGACAATGGGGGGGGCCTCTGTCCCCCCAGCAGCGCTGAGCCCCGACCCTTTGGAGAGCCTGTCTGGAGCCGTGGGGGGGCCTCGGCCTGGCCCCCCAGGAAACCCTCTCCAATCTGCAGAACCCATTTGGCTCCTGAAGTGCTGGGAGTTCACGCTGGAAAAAAATTGCCAAAAATTACCGGGAAGTGCACGTTCCGTCTGCTTGGCAGCAGCGTTAGGAAATGAAATAGTTTTGTTCACGTCGTCGGGGAATAAAGGAATCGATTCCCGCCTAATGGAGCCGCCGAGGAGCGCGGAGGAAAGTGTTGGCGTCCCCGGGGCCGCTGCTGCCCAGCCAGCGTGCGTGTCAATTTGCCACCAACCGAAGGGACTGGGGACGAGGCCGCGCAAAGGGGCCACGCGGGCCTGTCCGCCCCGCGTGGCACTCGTGTCAAACCTGGAGAAGGCAGGAGCCAGCTGACTGCAGCGGGCGGGCATGGGGCCTCGGTGCAGACAGACGGGGCTGCTGCCTTCCGGGGCCTGAGCCGGGCACTCACCGGCCAGGACCAGCCTGAGGCCGCCCCGCAGGCTCTCAGGGTGTCCTGCTCTGGGGCTGGGGTTGGGGCGCTGCAGCTGCTGGAGGCTGTCGCTCTTGGTTCCTGGCCGTACTGCTGGGAGCCTGCTGGGGGGGGGTGGGGGGTGGGGGGGAGAGGCCCCTAAAGCCCCCACAGGACCGGGCTCTCCCCCAGCTCTGGGCCTGGGGACAGGGTTGGGCAGAGGCTGCCTGGCCCCCGCCATGCCGACTCCCACCCTCATCCTGCCCGCGGCCCGACTCCTGTCCTGGGTGGGTCAGAGCTCCTGTCTTTTCCTGGGTGCGGCTGTCAGCTCTGCTTCCGCCCCTTTCTTTCCGGGGGCAGTTGCCCTGGTTCTGCTCTTGGGTCTGAGGCGGCTTCTGAGTGGGCCCTGGGGCCACAAGCCCCAGGAGTCCACATTTCCCCCCGAGGGCCTCACCGCTCTCTGAGGCTGAAACTGTGCATTTGCTTATCCCCCCATTCTCAGAGACCCCCACCCGCGGGAGGGGCTGCCCCCACCCCAGACCTGCAGGAAGGACGTGGTTTCGGGGGCTGGCTGTGCTGCTCCCCCGGTGTGCACGAGTGTGTGTGCATGAGTGTACGTGTGTGTATGCCCGGATGTACGTGTGCATATGTGTGCACGTGTGTGCGGGTGCATGTGGCCCGGCTCTGCTCTCACAGGCTGCCTTGGGGCCCAGCTCCCTGTGCTGTGTCTGTCCCCCCCCCCATCCTGTCCCCGCGCCCCGTTTGTGCTGACAGGCTCTGTCTCTGCCGGCCTCGCTGACCTCATAGGGTCCCGTGGCCGGGGGCTGGGGCGCGGGCGTCTGCATTCCTGCGCGGGGCGCCCGCCCTAGGCCTGGCCCACCGTCCCGACTCGCACGGGCTCCTCCGCCCTGTAATTAGTGGCAGCTGGGCCTCCGGCGGCTGCTCAGATGCCCGCTCCGCCCCCCAGGTGAAGGTCATGCTTAGGATATGGCCGGCCCAGGGGACCGAGTGCTCGACCTTCCTGAAGGTGGACCCCCGGAAGAAGCAGGTGACCCTCTACGACCCGGCCGCTGGGCCCCCGGGCAGCCTGGGCGCCCGCCGCGCCGTGGCCGCCGCCCCCAGGATGTTTGCCTTCGATGCTGTCTTCCCCCGGGATTCGGAGCAGGTGAGGGGGGCGGCGTCCTGGGGTGGGCCCCCGTCTCCGCGGCCGGGCGTGCAGACCCCGTCCTGCCGTGTCCCCTGGGTGTCTCGGGTGCGGTGCTCCCGTGTAGGGGCGAGCAGGGCCCCCGACGGCCATGTGGCCTGGGTCCCGGGTGTGTCCGCGGTGGCAGCGAGAGGCGGGCGTGTGCTGCAGCCCTGGGCCCGGGGGTGCGCTGCCGGCCTGTCCGGTGTGGCCGGGCGCGTGGAGAGCTCCGTCCTGGCCCTGCGCCGCGGCCTCCTTGCGGGCTGCCTGCGTGACCACAGATGGGCCTGGAGGGGGCGGGTGGCGGCCCCGGCCCTGCCCCCTGCCTGACTCCCGGTGCCCACCCAGGCTGAGGTCTGCTCGGGGGCCGTGGCCGATGTGCTGCAGTCGGTTGTCAGCGGCGCTGATGGCTGCATTTTTTCCTTTGGCCACACGAGCCTGGGTAAGCACCTGGCGTCCTGGCAGCGGGGTCGGGGCTGGGTCTGGGGAAGGACTTTGTGGGGTGCTGGTGAGGGAGCTGCAGGCGGGGTGCCGGGGCAGCCCAGGCTGGGCGGGTCAGGCCCTGAGGGCGGTGGCCTGACCTGCCGTGGCCCCAGGCACGGCCTACACCATGATTGGGAAGGACAGCTCTCCGCAGAGCCTGGGCGTGGTGCCCTGCGCCATCTCCTGGCTGTTCCGGCTCATCGACGGGTGCAGGGAGCGCGGCGGCGCCCGCTTCTCCGTCCGCGTCTCCGCCGTGGAGGTGTGCGGCCGAGATGCCAGCCTGCGGGACCTGCTGGCCGAGGTGGCCGCTGGCAGCCTACAGGATGCCCAGTCTCCGGGCATGTGCCTGTGGGAGGACCCGGTCTGTGGGGCACAGGTGGGCTGCCTCGGGGGCAGGCCGGGCAGCGGGCGGGCTGGGCAGGCTCCGTCCTGACCCCCGGGCCTGCTCTCTGCCCGCAGCTGCAGAGCCAGAGTGAGCTGAGGGCGCCCACGGCGGAGAAGGCAGCCCTCTACCTGGACGCAGCCCTGGCGGCCCGCAGCCCTGGCAGCTCCCACATGCTGTTCACGCTGCATGTGTACCAGCACCGCGTGGAGAAGGGCGGCCAGGGGCACAGTAGGTGCCTCCTGCCGGGCGCGGGGCGGGGAGGGGCCGGGCAGCGGGCAGGGTCCTGGCGGGGTCACGCGCCACCTCCTGCCTGTGCTTCTAGTGTCCGGAGGCCGTAGCCGCCTGCACCTCATTGACCTGGGCAGCTGCGAGGGAACGCCTGGCAGGGTCAGCGAGGCCCCCGGGGGCCACCTGTGCCTGTCCCTTTCAGCCTTGGGCAGTGTCATCATGGCTCTGGTCAGTGGGGCCAAGCACGTCCCCTATAGGTGAGCGGGGCTGCCCCACGGGCCCGGCTGGGCGCGGGCAGGGGTGCTGGGGAGCAGCCCCCAGCCCCACTGCCACTCCGTGGGCCTCGCTGCCTGAGGGTGGGGCAGGGTTCTGGTGCCCAGGGGGCACAGAGGCGGCAGCCATACCCCGCCCAGGGCCCCCGCTCTGGAGAGACCGCCTCCCGGGCCCCCAGATCCCCCCACGGACCCCGGCCGCAGCCTCTGAGCCCCCTCGCCCCCAGGGACCACCGGCTCACCGCACTGCTGCGCGAGTCCCTGGCCGCCAGTGCCTGCCGCGCCACCATGGTGGCCCACGTCTCGGACTCGCCCGCCTGCCACGCGGAGACGCTCAGCACCGTGCAGCTGGCAGCGCGCATCCACCGCCTGCGCCGGAGGAGGGTCAAGGTGGGCCGCTCCTGCCCCCCCCCCCAGGGCCCTGCCCGCGGGGCTGCTGCGCCGAGGGAGTGGGGCGGGGCGGGCTGGCCGCTCACCCGCGCCCTCTGCCCCCAGTACGCTTCCAGCTCCTCGGGCGGGGAGAGCTCCTGCGAGGAAGGCCGCGCCCGCCGCCCCCCGCCCCTGCGGCCCCTCCACCCACGCTCCCTGGTCCCAGACCCCGACCGCCCAGGCCCCGGCCTGCCCGGCGACCCCGACTACTCGTCCAGCAGCGAGCAGTCCTGCGACACGGTCATCTACGTGGGGCCCGGCGGGGCGGCGCTGTCGGACCGAGAGCTCACGGACAACGAGGGCCCGCCCGACTTCCTGCCCATCGTCCCAGCCCTGAGCCGCCGCCGGCCCGCCGAGGGCCCGCGGGACGCCGATCACTTCCGTTGCAGCACCTTCGCCGAGCTGCAGGAGCGGCTGGAGTGCATCGACGGCAGCGAGGGCCCCGAGGGCGCCCAGCCCGGCCCAGCCCGAGGGGGCAGGAAGCCCTCACCGCCCGAGGCCACGGCCCCCAGGAAGGCGGCCGGCTCCCCGCTGGCGGCCAGCACCCCTCGTGGCTGCCCCGGCCCGGGCCCCCACTGGGGTGCCCTGGAGCCCTCTGTGGCCAGCTCCCGGGGTGACCAGAGAGAGGAGCTGCCCACGCCGGACAAGGACACGGGGGGCAGAGGCCAGAGGCTGCTGCCCAGTCCGGCCCCTCCGCCCCCTCAACCGCCGGCAGCGGGCAGGGTCCCCGAGGAGCACGGAGGTGGGGGTGCAGGCGGAGGGGCCCGGACGCCCCCTGTGGGCTGCCCCCGCCCCCCTGCACAGGGCCACCGCCTGGAGCGGGGCTTGCTCACCACCACAGTCACGCTGCAGCAGCCCGTGGAGCTCAACGGTGAGGACGAGCTGGTGTTCACGGTGGTGGAGGAGCTGTCGCTGGGGGCGCTCGCTGGTCCCGGCCGCCCCGCCAGCCTGGCCAGCTTCGGCAGCGACTGCTCCCTGCAAGCCCTGGCCTCGGGGTCCAGGCCTGTCAGCATCATCAGCAGCATCAACGACGAGTATGACGCCTACACCTCACAGGTTCCTGGGGGGACCCCGGATGGGGCAGCCTGCACCGGCGGCCCACGGGGCTCCCCCGCCCGCGCCTGGCTCTGCACGGCTGACAGCTGCGGCCCCCTGCTGCAGCCCCCGCGGCGGCCCAGCCCCGACCCTCTCTGCCCCAGCTCCCCGGCAGGACCCGGCCCCCTGGGCCCCCCCACCCTGGACAGCTCCCCGGGGGTGGGCAGCCTTCGGTCCTCAGAGCAGGAGGGACAGGACAGCCCCGGGCCTGCCCACGGTGCTCACCCTGGGGAGGCCGCCACTGCAGCCCCCACCCAAGGCGGCAGGGAGCGGCGGGCCTGGTCTCCCCGGGGGCCTGTGCCCGCCCAGACCATCCACTCCAGCCTGCCCCGAAAGCCCAGGACTACCTGCAGTGCCAGCCGCGCAGGCTGCCCCCACCCGGGCCTGAGCCCGCCCGGCCCCGGGGGCGCCTTCGAGGACCCCTGGCGGCTGCGGGCAGAGGAGGGAGGGACTCTCCAGGCGGCTCCTGCGGGCAGGGCCCCCAGCCCGGCCCCGCCACCGGCGAGCACATGGCGGGTGGTGGACGGCTGTGAAGTGATGGCCAGGGTGGCCCCCAGGCCGGAGGTGGGGGCTCCGATAACACCTCTGCGGAGGGGAGCCACCACCCTGGGCGTGACCACGCCAGCGGCAGCCTGCAGCGACACCCTGACCGAGACAGCGGCCAGCCCCAAGGCTACCCCTAGCAGCAAGAAGGCCACGGCCCCCAAGGGGGGTGCGTTGCCCAGGCCCAGTGGCTCGGCCCCCCGGCCCCACCTGTGCGGAAGTCCAGCCTGCAGAGCAAGAGCAGCCCGGCGCCCGCATCTCCCCTGCCTGCCGCCCCTGCCCGGGGCGGGGAGGACGCCAAGCCCAGCGGCCGGGCAGACCACTTGGTGTCCAGGGCCACGTCCAGTCTAAAGGCCCGGCCTGGCAAGGTGGAGGCAGCGCCCCGTCCTGCCGCCCACGGGTCTCTGGAGCGGTGGGAGGGCCTGGTGCACGGCGGGGGTAAGGCCAGGGAAGCCGCCGGGCGGCCCGTCCGGGCTGTGCCCAGGCTGGGTGTGCCACCCCCGAGCCCCACGACTGGCCCTGCTGCTGCCTGCCGGGGCGGTCTGGCCAAGGGCGTGGGGGTCCCCAAGTCCCCGGCTGGTGGAGGCAAGGGCCGCAGCCTTGCGGCCGCTGGGTCAAGGGCTCTGGCTGCTCCGGTGAAGCCACTGCCCCCTGCGGCCGGCAGGGCCCCCGGCAGCCCGGCGGGGGGCCCCAGGGTCACCCCTCGGTCAGTACCTGGCATGGGGGCCAAGGCCGGCAGGGGCACCATCATGGGCACCAAGCAGGCGCTCCGGGCGGCCCACAGCCGCGTCAACGAGCTGGTGTCCAGCGGAGCTCCCGGCAGGGGCGGCCCTTCATGGGGCTCAGCCGACTCGGACAGTGGCAACGACAGCGGCGTGACCCTGGGCGAGGAGCGGCCGGCGCTGCCCTCGCCGTACAGCAAGGTGACGGCCCCGCGGCGGCCCCAGCGCCACAGCAGCGGCCACGGCAGCGACAACAGCAGCGTGTTGAGCGGCGAGCTCCCGCCTGCCATGGGCCGCACCGCCCTCTTCTACCACAGCGGGGGCAGCAGCGGCTACGAGAGCGTGGTGCGGGACAGCGAGGCCACGGGCAGCGCCTCCTCTGCCCCCGACTCCCTGAGCGACAGCGGCGCTGCTTCCCCGGGCGCCCGCTCCCGCAGCCTCAAGTCTCCCAAGAAGAGGGCCACAGGTGGGGGTGCAGGCCGGACTCAGCGTCCACCCGGGGCCGGGAGGCCGGGCCCCAGACAGGCTGGCCCTGCCCTCTCTGGAGCCCACGCTGTCCGGGGGCAGGCGGGGGCCGGGCCTGGGGAGCAGGAGAGGACTTGGGTTAGGGTTCCAAGCTGTGGTCTCCGGGGTTCCAACCCCAATCTCTCCAAGACCCCGTCAGGGCTTCTGCTCTGGGGCCCAGAGAGGAGGGGCCAGGCCCCGCGCTGTGTTGTGGGGGTTCAGCCCCGGCCAAGTGTGGGCAGGGCAGGTTTTGGGGCTGGCCCGGGCGGCCGGGCTTAGAGGTCTGTCCTGGGCAGCGGGCGTGAGAGAGGTGGTGAGCGGGGACGCGGCACTGGCAGGGGGCTGACCGCTGTGAGGGCAGCTGGTGTGGCAAGAGGTTGCGGGTGTGGGCCAGGGCCAGGGCCCATGTGCTCCCTGGCCGGGAGTGGCCGGGCTGAGGCTCTCTGGATGCGCCCTGTGCTCTCCCTGGCAGGATCCCGGCTGGGCCTGGGCTCCACTCACCTGGCACCCGGCCCTCTGTTGCAGGTCTGCAGCGGCGACGGCTGATCCCCACCCCTCTGCCTGACGCCGCTGCCCTGGGCCGCAAGCCCAGCCTCCCTGGGCAGTGGGTGGACCTGCCCCCACCGCTGGCCGGCTCCTTGAAGGAGCCCTTTGAGATCAAGGTGTATGAGATCGATGACGTGGAGCGTCTGCAGCGGCACCGCCCGTCCCCCAGGGAGGACCCAGCTGAGGTCAGGGTTGGTGGGGGCTGGGCAGGCCCTGGGGGCAGGTGGACCTCTGGAGTGACCACTGACCTCACCTTTTGTCCACAGCCCTCCCTGGAAGTGGAGAAGGTAGGAGCCGTCCCCCTTGGCCTGTGGTGCCCTGACACGCTCCCTCCTTGAGCAGAGGGCGGGGAGGAGTTGGGGGGGTCGAAGGCCCAGTGGGACAGGTTGCACCCCAGTGCACCAGCTGGGGTTCCAGGCAGACGCTGGGAGCGCCACCTGTGTGGGGCAGGTCCCCTTGGCCCCCGAAGCTCCTGTGACCACCGGGGTCTGGCGGGTGCAGGGAGGCGCCGGACCAAGGCTCTGGGAGGCTGGGGAAAAACGGGTTGTCTTCCTGTCCTGAGCCCGCTCTCTGCTGCCCCCAACTCCAGGGCCTGGTGTGTGTCAGTGCGAAGCTGCGGCTGGCGGAGCGCAGGCAGCAACGGCTGCGTGAGGTGCAGGCCAGGCACCAGCACCTGAGCACAGAGCTGGCCCAGACGCAGGGCCGGCTGATGGTGGAGCCTGGCCGCTGGCTGGAGCAGTGTGAGTCCTCGCCCGCCCTCCGTGGGCTGGCACCCCAACCCCCTCCCCTCCATGGGCTGGCACCCCAACCCCCTCCCCTCCGTGGGCTGGCACCCCAACCCCCTCCCCTCCATGGGCTGGCACCCCAAGCCCCGCCCCTCCACGGGCTGGCACCCCAAGCCCCGCCCCTCCACGGGCTGGCACCCCAAGCCCCGCTCCTTGGCCTGCTGGCTGTCCGGAGGCCGGGCCCTGGGGGTGCACACGACCCTGTCCTGGGTACCCCACTTGCAATTTGATCCCAGCCAGCCACCTGCCCTGCTCAGTTGCGCCAGGGCCCCTCCCTCGGCCCCGCCCTGCAGGCCCCTAGGCCTGACCGGAGCCTCTGACCCCCCTTCCAGTCCAGGTGGGCCCGGAGCTGGAGCCCGAGTCGGCCGAGTACCTGGCGGCGCTGGAGCGCGCCACAGCCGCGCTGGAGCAGTGCGTGAACCTGTGCAAGGCCCACGTCATGATGGTCACCTGCTTCGACGTCAGCCTCTCGGCCCCCGCCGCCGCCCCTGGGCCGCAGGAGGTGGACGTCTGAGGCCGGGCGGGAGGGCAAAGGGGTGAGGCCCAGTGTGGGTGGATGAGGATGTGCTGGGGGTGGGGGCGAGGCTGCCGAGGTGGGTGCGGGGTCTCGGGGAGACCCTGCAGCACGGGGCGCGGACGGGCGAGGGCGTGAGCACCGCAGGGAAGACTTTTGCCTCGACGGCGCCGCAAGTGCCTTTGACCTGGGCGGGTCTGGCCGCCTCGCGGTCAGTGCTGAGGCGACACCAGCAGCCGCGTGCCCGGCGCCGGGCGGTGGCCGCAGCCAAGCAGCTCCATGTAGCAGGCGGGCCTGGGGTCCCCGGGCTCCCCTTCAGTCAGGACCACCCCTGACTGCTGTTCTCCTGGTCGCGGGTTCCCCCACGGCCGCCCGGTCTTGGAGGGGGTCCTCCGGGGCCTGCTGCCTCTTGAGGACGCTGGGGGCACAGCACCTAAGGGCTGACGAGGGCGCTGACGCCTTCTTCCACGGCAGGAATTCTTACCAAATCCACAAGCAAAAAAGAAAATCACAAATATGGGGGTCTGGGTTTTGTAAGGTTCTGTGGGTTCTTATTTTTCTACCGTCCTGTCCACGCGCCATTTGTAGTGAGGGCAGAGGCTGCTGCTGGTCTTCTGTGGGGGCGTCCCCGGGGCTCCTCAGGGCTGCCCGGCCGGGGTGCCCCGAGGTGGCCTGCGAGTGCAGGGCGGGGGCCGCGGGGGCGGTGCCCGCTCACCAGGAGCCAGCCCTTCTCCTGACGCGCGTGTTTAGGGGTGCGCCTTTGTACAGACGTGTACATAGCCTCTTGCTACAGCTTTTTGTGAATAAACGATGCCTCGATTGTTCTCGGGCTCCTGACTCCAGTGGGCCTGGGAGGGGGAGTGGGCTTTGCAGGGGCCCGGGCCAGGCCCGCCCTCGCAGCACCCCAAGGAACGGCCTGACAGGGCTGGGGACAAGCCATTTCCTCTTCCCCCACGCCCAGCTCTTGGGTCTGGGCCCGAGGCTGGAGCCGCTGGGCAGCCCTGGTGCGGCCACCCCGCACAGGCCCTCGGTCTCTGCCCCCCTTCCCAGGACGGGTGTGCAGGACACCCAGGGGCTCTGGTGGGCATGGCGCCCGCAGGGTGTCCTGGCTCTGGGGGAACAGGCCCAGGCCCCCTCGCCGGCGTCGGTGACCTCCTGGTCTGGGTCAGGCCTGTGGGGGCAGCACCTCCAGCAGCTGCTCCCAGAACCTGCTTCTCTGCCCTGTGCGGGGCCGCCCCGCCCTCCGAGGGCTGCATCTGGCACCTGCCCCGCGCTCACCTGGCCCCTGGCTCAGGGTGCTAGCTCCCCTACGGGGACCCCAGTTACTGCCCCCACCCCGCCCGGGAGCCCCAGGCTCCAGGGAGTGAGTGGGGCCCCCTGGGTGGCCCACTGCCCAGGGCTTCTGCCTTGCATGTGGTCTGCCTGCCTTCCCGCCTCCCCTCAGCCCCCCGGGACGCTGGGGCCACAGGCTCTGAGTCGTCGCAGCGCCCCGACCCCGCCGGCAGGAAGAATGAAGGAAAGCGTGGGCCCTCCTTGGGGGAGGCTCCAGCCAGGACAGAAGCAGGCCCGGGCCCAGGGAGGTCCTTTGCAAAGCGCCCGGGGCCTTTCCCGTCACCCAGAGAGACCCCAAGCTGCCCTGGCTTCTGCCCCCACCCCCAGCCGGCCGCTCCCGCCCCCCGCGCGGCCTGTCACACCCAGCCCCGGGTTGGCTCACCCTGAGGTGGGCCTTCCCAGCAGGGGCCCGTCCAGGTGCCGCCGGAGCCTGCTGCTCCCCGAGTTTGGGAGGTCTGGCGGGTCATGGGGGATGTCCGGTGAGGGCTGGGGTCCGAGGGGCAGGGGCTGAGCCCACCGGTCCCTGGCTCCTGAGACCTCTGCCCAGCTGGGACCCGGGGCCTGGCCTTGCCAGGTGGGGGCAGCTGCTGGTCCAGGGGACCGTCTTGGACCAGGGACGTGGGGAGGCCCACGCAGCGGGTGCCCTGGCCCCCAGCAAGCTCGGCACAGACTGCGAGAGGGAGGGGTCCCCCCCCTTGGCAGGGAACACCCCAGCTCCCTCCCCGCTCTCGACCCTCGCCAACCCGCACCCTGCCTGTCGGCTGGGTCTCGAGCTGGCCGTGGGCCCGCTGCCCCGTCCAGGCAGGCCGGGCGGCCCTGGCCTGCTGTTCTGGCAGGAGCCCGTCCCGGCGGCCTTTTCTCTGGGACTTCAAAGCCCTCAGCCCTGTCATTAGGGCTGGGCCGGCTGGGGCGCAGCTGTGGGCACAGCCCCACGCGGTTTTGCGGTGGGAGAGCTGCAGGCCCGCGGCCGGCGCCGGGGCGAGGCTCTGCTTCCTGCAAGGGGCCCGTGGGCAGCTGCTGAGTGGTCACTCGGGCGACTGAGACCTGGGCGGGGCTGTGCGCCTCGCTCTGGTGGGGGCGAGAGGGCGCCCCCGGCGGAGGGTCCCCATCAGGCGGAGCCGGGGTGGGAGGGCGGCCCCAGGAGCCGGCAGGCGGAGCCCTGGGGAGAAGCGCCAGGTGTCCTGCTCTCCCCGGGTGCCCGCCGGGCTCGCCCTGGGCGTCTGGGCCTGCCCTGCCACCCATCCGGCACGGGCGGCTATGGGGGGAGGTGGGTGGCGCTGAGCCCTGGGTTTGCAGGGCCGCCGGGTGCCCACCTGCTCCCCGCAGGCCCCCTGCAGCCCCCGGAGACGCCGTTTCCCTAGAGATGTGGGGTTGGGGGGTGGGGGGCTTTCCCCACCATGGTGAGGTCAGAGGGGCAGGAGGGACCTTCTCCCAGGCTCGCGGGTCTGGCCCCTGCTTCCTGGGCCTTTTCCGGGAACGGGCTTGGCGCCCCACCCCGCTGGGGCTCCCGGGCTGGAACGGCCCGAGGCGTCCTCTTGTGCCTCGGTCATGCAGGCGGGCAGCGCCGCCAGTGGGTGACGCGGTCGTGGGGGGCGGCAGCGGGGCCGCCTGCGGAGCCGGGCGCCTTCTGGAGCCAGGCCTGGGAGCCAGCCGGGGCCCTCATCCTGCCCGACCGCGCCCCCCTGGAAAGTGGCCAGTCCACGCGGAGCCTGCAGCTGGCCGGGGCTGGCCCGGAGCCTGAGGGAGGGTCCCCAGCCCAGGGCCATCACCTGCTGACTGCCGCCTCTCGGGCACCCGGCTCCCCAAGGGCCGCAGGGGGACCCCGAGGCGGGCCGGGCCCGTGTCCTCTGCGCACGGCCCACCTGCGGGCACGTGCCATCCAGACCCTCCCCTGCTGCGGCCTCCCTGCGCCCTGGGGCGCCCGTCTGGAGGCGGCTGTGCCCCTCCCGGGCCAGGCGGCTGGGAGCCCTGGGGCCTGGGGCTCGGCCTCCGTCTGCTCCCAGCAAACAGGAAGCTGGGGGGTGGTTTCTGCCCCCGACATTGTGTTTACCAAGGCGGGGTCCAGGCCCCACTTCCACACAGGAAGCCCGGAGGCCGGGCGGGGCTGGAGGAATTCCCTGGGCGGGCCAAGGAGAGGCGCTTCCTGCCGTCCGCCCGCGGGGCGGGGGCCCAGGCCGGGGTGCCCGCTGCGGGGTGGGGGGGCAGGCCGGGACACCCCCTGGGGCGGGGGCAGGCCAGGGTGCCCCCTGCGGTGGGGCTCGCTGGGCTGGGGTCTGAGGTCTGCCTCCCAGCGCCCGGCCAGCCGAGGGCCTTCGGCAGGGGAGGGGGGCGGGCGCTGGGGGTGGACCTGCCTCCAGGCTGACAGCCAGAGGGTCCTGCCCATGCTCCTGCCCCTGCCCCCCGAAACCCCCCTCGGTCCTCTCGGCAAAGGGGCCTGTGGATGGAACTCTCCTCCCCCGCCCGCCCTCTCGCCTGGTGAGATCAGCCCCGAGGCGAGGGCAGAGCGGTGCTGGGGGCCCAGCTCCCCCAGACCTCGGTCTTTTGTTACCCTGGTGTTTCCAAATCATCTTTCAGACGCGGGCGTTGGGGTTCACAGACCCCTTCTGAAGACGGGGTTCTCTGCGGCCACGCCCACGCCGCCCCAGTGTCAGCCTCCGTGGGGATGAGGCCACGCCCAGCCTCCCCCCGCCCCGGGGTGCCTGTGCCCTGGGCCAGTCGTCTTTGAAGTCTCCCCGGGGCTCGCAGGCCCTGTCGGGGGTCACGGCCGGTGGCCGTGGGGCCTTGGACCGGCCCCTGGGGCGAGTGACCCCGCAGAAAGGACACTGAGGGCCGGGGCCCGAGGGTCCACGGGGTGAAGTCCCCAGAGCCAGCCTGTCCCGACTGGAGCCCCGGGCCCGGCGGGTTCCCTCCCGCAGCCCCGCTCCGAGCGCCCCCAGCCTGGGCCGCCATAGCCGGGGGAGGGGGGGCTGCCGGAGGGACAGTCCTGCCTTCGAGATCCTGGCTCCGGCCAGCCCTGGGGCCCCGGCTGTGCGACTGGGCGGCCCGTGGGTGCTGGACGGTCCCCCCCCCCCGCCCCCGAGCCCGGACTTCCCTGCGGTGGGGGCCGCACGCCTGGAATAGGCTGGCTCCCTGCTCCGCCCCAGCGGCCGCCCCCGGTGGGCTGGGGGGACGAGCCGACCCCGCCCACGTGGGTTTGTGGGTGCTGTGCCGGCGGGGCCCGGAAACTCGGCCGGGCCGAGCCGGGTCTCTCTGTCCGGCACCCGCCCTGGCCATAGGCTGTGGCCTAGGGGTGGTCTCACCGTCCACCGCGCAGGCCACCCTCCCTGCGTGGCCTCCCAGGGACGGGGGCAGGGGCCACCCGGGGCCAGCTGGGAGGGAGCCCCCAAGCGCGAGGACCCTGGGGCTGCCGCACCCCAGCTTCCCAAGAAGCCCCCGGGGCTCCTGCAGACCCTCGGGGACACTCGGGGACCAGCACGGCAGCTGCTGCCCAGAGGCCGTCTCTGTGCTGGGGACACCCGGGCACCCATGATCCCGGTCCTGGGACGCAGGGGGACCCTCCCTGGGCGCAGCTCGGGCCAGTGGGGTGCCCTTGTGCCTGCTCGGACCAGCCACACACCACACCACACCACACCACACACCACACACACCACACCACACACACCACACACACCACACACACCACACACACCACACCACACACACCACACACACCACACCACACACACCACACCACACACACACCACACCACACCACACACCACACACACCACACCACACCACACCACACACACCACACACACCACACACACACACACACCACACCACACACACCACACCACACACACCACACACACACACACCACACACACCACACCACACACACCACACCACACACACCACACACACCACACACACCACACACACACACACCACACCACACCACACCACACACACCACACCACACCACACCACACCACACCACACACACCACACACACACCACACCACACACACACCACACACACCACACCACACACACCACACACACCACACCACACCACACACACCACACACACCACACACACCACACACACCACACACACCACACCACACCACACCAACACCACACACACCACACACACCACACACACCACACACACACACACACACACACACCACACACCACACACACCACACACACCACACACACACACACCACACCACACACCACACACCACACCACACCACACCACACACACCACACACACACACCACACCACACACACCACACACACCACACACACCACACACACCACACACACCACACACACCACACACACCACACCACACACTACAACACACACCACACACACCACACACACCACACCACACACACACCACACCACACACCACACACACCACACACACCACACCACACCACACACACACCACACACACCACACCACAGACACATCACACACACCACATGCAC